TGTGTGTGTGTGTGTGTGTGTGTGTGTGTGTGTGTGTGTGTGTGTGTTTAATGGTTCTCACTGAGTTGGACCCTTGTTCCTACAGCAGAAGAGAATGGCCTTCAAGGCTTGATATAAACACCCGGTCTCCATATGCTGCGCATTCCAGATCCTTCCACTCTTATTTCAGCAGCACACTCAAAAGAGAAAATCACAGGATTATAAATGTTTCACTGCAGTGCAATGTGACATTTCCCCTGCAGGTTAATTAATGGATGGTTGTCTCTGCAAAAGTCCTATCTTGTCCTTCCTTGGTTACAATTCAACAGATGTTTATCTGGAGGGGGGTAAAACCTAGCGAAGACATGGGGGAATACTCATGTTTTTTGCTGCTAAAAAGGGGGTGAATTTTTAGGCTGAACGTGAATGTTAATGATATATTTCGTTATTTGTTCGACACTGATTTTTATTATTGTTTTTGTTTGGTTGTTTTGTTTGCAGCTGATATCTTCTATTTTTCCTCTCCTTCCCCTTCTCCTTCTTCTGTATTTTAACTTTGGAGATAAAAAAATTAAAAAGTGGGTGAAAATGGTATAGGTTACTTATGCTTGGTTTTATCCACTTTTTAAAAAATCGGTGCTTTGTATTAATACGTGATAGAACAGCTGTGAAGGCCTTGGGAAAAGCATGTGTACCTACACTGTACAAAGATCAGAATCATGCAAACTGGCATCACCTGGAACACTCTATGGCAGGAGTCTCCAACCTTGGGAACTTTAAGACTTGTGGACTTCAACTCCCAAAATTGGGAGTTGAAGTCCACAAGTCTTAAAGTTCCCAAGGTCAGAGACCCCGGCTCTATGGAAGCAAAAGTTGGACTTCGAAGAAGCAGAATAGAAACAATGGTGATATTTTTGAACGTTGGTATTGGAAAAGATTCCTGAAAATACCATATACAGCCAAGAAAACAACTGTATCAATCACTGAACAAATCAACCCAGAGTTCTCACTAGAAGCACAAGTGACCAGGCTCAAATTATTCTGATATTATATTGCAAGGATCTTTTTGGAGAAAATGGGATGAACAGTTTGTAGCTCTGTGTAGGTATGTATCCAGTTCAGTACATTTTGTGAATGTAATCCCCATAGTTTTAATGATTTATGGACTAGCATGTTGAGCAAATATAGATACTGGTGAAATTACAATGAAACATAACTGATACACAAACCGAGCTCCGCGTTCAATTCAAGAAAGCAAGTCTTATTTAATTGCAGGCACTAGCATTGTGCAATTTCAATTCAATTTATTGTGTGGTCAAAGACCAGCATGAATAATAAACAGATTTAAGTCAGAGTTAAAGTGCATTTATAAAACAAGCTAACTAACATCTATAAGTGAGATTCAGGGTGCAGCCTATATTAAATGATAATTTAAATACTAAAATTATGTTAAATATGATAACATGTAAAATGACAAGTATCTAAAAATGTCAATGTTGACAAGGTAAAAGATCTAAAATGTAAGTGGATTAGAATTTCAAGCAGTGCATTGTGGGACATTAGCATTGTGCTAGGTTTAAGCCAGTGCCACAGTTTAACAAACCAAAGGACTAAGCAACGGTTGGGCTACTATGGCCCCTTTACATTCTGTGTACTTCAACTCCCAGAATTCCTGAGCCAGCCATGTTGCTGACAAGCTAGCTGGCTCAGGAATTCTGGGAGTTGAAGTCCACAGATCGTAAAGGGGCCATAGTTGCCCACTCCTAGGGAGATCTACTGCAAACCAAGAATTTTAGAAATCCAGACCCATGGAGTCAGAGCTCTGTGGGCAAAAAAAAACCTGCTTGGCCATTTCAATATGCCAACTTTTCAGTTTATATATTGTCCCCATTACAAGGCTGTATCTCTTTAAGACTTCCATCAAGCAAGTGGTTAAATCCTGGGAGGAGCAATTTGGCTATATAGACACAAAAGCTTTCACTGCACTCTTGAGTTTGTTGGAACAAAATGCCCCCTGGAAGGTAATTACTAGCTCATTGTTTTCTCTTTGGCAAGATAACAAGTTTAATATTCTTAGGACTGATCACTTTTTTTAAAAAAAAAAACTATGCTAATTAGTATAGCTAACAAGGATCAGTTTGTTTTCTTTCGCTTCTTTTAAAAGTTGGTCGTAGTGGTCCAATATGCTGGACCAGCATCGGTTCTGCCATATGGTAACGCCTGTTTCTCCATTCTGGTAGCTGCTTTAATGAAAGGTGGACTGAAAGCAATTTGATTCTTATAGCAGCAACATCCTTTTTTTTTTTAAGGTTCCCTGAAAGCCTGAGGAAAAAATGAGCTCCTTTCATGAACAGTTGAGAGCTTGTGGAAGATCTGAAATACGTAATTGCTAAAGTGTTCACAGCTGTCTTAATTAACGGCTACTTTATCACGCCTAATGAATTTTATCAGCCATGATGGCAAAGCCGGAGCTTTGATTCGCAGAAAATTAATGGAAGAAACAGTCTCCCAAAAGACAGAAGAGGGAGGAGAACAAAGAGGATCAGGTTACAGCTCTAAGTATGATTGCATTGCTGTAATGTTCAGGCATGTTATAAAATAAACCCCTCCATTCTATATCTATAAAATAATAAACACGTGAGGGGAAAGTGTGGGCTAAATGATTTTGATAAGCTACTTTTCTCTATCTAAGAGGGGCTTTTTATGTAAGGAGAACAACTTGGAAACCTGCTTAGCCAGCAAGATTTGCATGCAAGTAGCCCTTGACTTATGACCATTCGTTTAGTGACTGTTTGAAATTATGACTGATCTCTCTAGATGTATTGATAACCCAGATTTAAAGTTCTGACAACCCAGCCTCACCCAGTTGCACTTTGGGGCACTCAGCAACTGACCTGCATTTGCAGCTGTTTGCAGCAGCCTGCCATTACAATGAGCACGTTTTCGGAGGTTTTTTTGCAAAAACCAGCATTTATTTGGGTTTGTCGTTGTTCCAACAGAGGGAAGTTCCTTAAAGAGAGTTCCAACCTAGATCTAAAAAGAAATCTCCTGAGATTAATTATTCAGTTGAATGGTTTGCCTCTAAAAGTTACGGGTGCTCCATTAATTGGAGATTTTCACGAAGAGAATGGGCAGCCATTTTGTCCAGAATGCATGAGCAGGGGTTGGATTAAAAGACCTCCAAGGTTCCTTCCAACCCTGTTATTCTATCTTCTGTATCACGGGGATCAAACTCGCTACGTCACGTTGCTGTCACGTGACGTTTCACATTTCCCCCCCTTTGCGGAGCTGGGGTGGGCGTGGCCTGCGCATGACACATCCGGCCCGCGGGCCACCAGTTTGACACCCCTGTTCTATATCGAGATAAATTCACATCACGGCTTCCTATAATGTGTGAGACCAGCAATTATCCAAGGAAAGGCTTGAATCAACGTGCAGTGGTTAATTTGTCCTTCAGCCTAAAGGGAGGACGTTCAATCCATTCTCTTTCTTTCTGCAGGACAACATCACCTGAAGAAGATCAGCTAATTCCAGACACCGCTTTCCATATCGCCGAAGAGCCCCGGGACAAGGAAAGTTTCGTTTTTCCCTCCGTGAAGGAATTTTCTCTGGCAAGCTGTTGAAAAAAAAAAAAACCTACTTTTCCCATGGATAAAATTCTCACGTTGTCTCAAAATATCTGGGAACATCTATACCGCCTGAGGATGAAGAGCAAGTACGCCATTCTTCTGGTCTTTGTGGCAGCCCTTGTCATAATTGAGAAGGAGAACAACATCATTTCAAGGTAGGGGGGGAAGGAAGAGGAGCTGTGCTGGAAAAGAGGCTTTCTTGGTCTTCTTCTCCGGCCTTCAGGCCGCCCATTGTATCTTACCAAGCATTGCCTGGTCCCAACTCGCTACCACCAGTCCGCCAGCCTTTTGGAACCAGGTAAATATTAACGCTTCCCAGTCTGAATTCAGTTGCGTCTTTATTCATGAATGCAGCCAGATGACTCTCTTAAGCATTGGACCGAGATCAAATCATCAGTCAATAAGGCTTTATTCCTGAGGCCAAAGGGAATGACTATGGACGCAGGCACATCCACTAACCAACGCATAAAATATAAATGGAATGTAATATAGAAGCTGAATGAATAAATAAATAACTTGTACACAACTGTCCCATCTGGTGGAGATCACATACCGCGAGCATGATTGGTTAAATAAGCCACCTTTGACAGGGTTTGTAGAACAAAGCTGGACAGGTCCTCTCAAGGAAATGCAAGTGCTTCCTACTGGTAGGAATTAACTTAATGTTAATTCCTACCAGTAGGAAGCACTTGCATTTCCTAAGTTAGACATTGAAGGTCTCTACCTGAAGAAGCAATTGTGTTTTTTTTTTTGGTTTTTTTTAAGGAATAAAACTTGTAAGTATTTACATTATTTTTCTATGTACTATTTATCTTTACTTTTTTGTTCAGGTTCCATGAGCGAATACATAATTTTATTGTCTATCTGCAGTTTTAATCTAGGACTACATGCACACGGGCCCTTCAAACTTAACATTGTGCCTCCAAATTACTAAAAATTGGAGGCATTTGGTAAGCCGTTATGATACCAGGACTGAATGTTTAGGATACTTATACAATCAGAAGCAATAATAATTAATATATTCTAATTACAAGTAAGCAGAGGAAGAGTATTTTTATGCTTTCATGCTACTACTGACATACATCAGTTTATAAGGCGACAGCTGATCCATGCAAGGGCAGTCATCTAGAATGGCAATCATCATTGCATACAAACAGCTTCAGAATGTGTTAAAATGTTGCCAGGATCTTTTGAGAGGTTATCAGATTTCAACGGAAGAATTAGGCACTATACAATCCCACTAAAAGCAACCATTTGTTGCTACCTCTTTTGTTTAGCAGTGTGTTAAATATATTGAATTTAATGTATGACCTGGGCCACATTCATTGTGATGAGAGCCCACATATTTATAGCCATTTTACTGTAAACGAAACATCATCCTAAGACAGTTTTTTTCAACCTTGGCAACTCGGACTTCAACTGCCAGAATTCCCCAGCCAGGTAGGTTGCCCAGATTGAAAAAAAAAAAACACTTAGATGGACACTTTACTTACTTTTCCACCAGACTCAGGACAAGTATGATAAGCTTTGCTGAAGTTCATTTGAGATCCTGAGAAAAATCAACCCAACCATTGAGTCAGTCCTATGGCCAGTTTTGTGTCCCAGCTAAGACCTACTGTGGACAGTATCTATTTCCTTGATAATCCTTTGAACCACTATTTTGCAAAAACAGAATCCAGGTTCAGAGAATTCATACAGGATGAGGACTAAATCAATATTGCATATCCTTTTCTTGAAATTAAAGAATGTTTTCCCCTTCACTCACTGTGGACCTTGATAGAGACTCAGCTCCAAATTCATGGTGTACAATAGATTGGTGGGGCCCAGGCAAGCAGATGCTCACCAATCATCAACTGTACTAAGAAACAGTACAGTTACAAGGCCAACAAATTAGAGAAACCACGTTCAGTCTGCATTTTCTTGCCAAAGTCTTGGCTTTTGATCTGGATTCCAAAGTCAACCGTAGATTACTTTGCAGGGGATGGTACTACCTATCCACAGTAACTGAACTCCTGGATATAGAAGGGATGAATGTGGTCCCCTTAGGTCACTGTTTTTCAACCTTGGTAACCTTTAAGATGTGTAGACTTCAACTCCCAGAATTCCCCAGCCAGCATGCTGGTTGGGGATTTCTGGGAATTGAAGTGCACACATCTTAAAATAGCCAAGGTTGAGAAACACCGATCTATCTCTAGAACATTGATGGCGAACCTTTTTGTTGTGGTGCGCCGAAAGCGCGCACACGCTCGTGTGCTGGCACCCACGATGCAGTGCACCCTGCCCCCCCCTGCACATGCATGTGCAACACCCCCGCCCCGCCCTTTACCTGCACCATGCATGTTCACGCCTCCCAGCTGATTTTCAGCCTGTTTGAGGCCATTTTCCCCTTTCCGGAGGCTTTAAGGAAGCCTCTGCAGCCCTGGGAGGCCGAAAAATGGGCCTTCTGGAAATACCACAAGTGCCTGTTTTCAGCCTCTGGAGCCCCAGGGGAGGCCATTTTCACTCTCCCGGAGGCTCGAGGGACGCCTCGGGAGGCTGAAAACGGGCCCGTTTCAGCACGTCCGGTATTTCCAGAAGGCCCATTTTTCGGGCTGAAAATCAGCTGGGAGGCGCACGCATGCGCAATGCAGGTAACTTTGGCTGGGGCTCGTGTACCTGCACAAATGGCTCTGTGTGCCACCTGTGGTACGCATGCGATAGGTTTGCCACCACGGCTCCAGGACGTGCTGAGTTCCTCGCGGGCCAGAGAGATTCCGTGTGAGATGGCCCACTCCGTCCCTCAGCAGACGATTGAAAGGGGGAAGGTGATTCTGAAGATGGAAGGGAAGAACCTGGCTTGGATTAAGAAACCCGTTCTCTCCACCTCAGAATGACATGTCTGGAAGTCTCTTTCAATGTCACTGCTGCTCTTGGTCCTGATGATCGCGTTCTTTCTCTCTGCAGGGTTTCAGACAAACTGAAGCAGTCTCCACAGTCCCTGCCAGTAGCCAACAGCACCGATTCCGGGTTGATGCCGCCAGAGAACGGCTCCCTCTTGTCCCTCAGCGCCCTGGACCTGGCCTTCTCCCAGCTGAAGCACCGGTTGCAGAACATCACTTTGCAGCTTGGTGGCACCCCGCTGCCCCCCGCCAAAAGGACACGAAAGCATGTTCTCCTCATGGCCACCACCCGTACCGGCTCCTCCTTCGTAGGGGAATTCTTCAACCAACAGGGCAATATTTTCTACCTCTTTGAACCACTGTGGCACATCGAAAGGACGGTGTCTTTTGAATCCGGCGGCGCTAACGCGGTGGGGTCAGCCCTCGTCTACAGAGATGTTTTGAAGCAGCTGCTCCTCTGCGACCTTTACATCTTGGAGAACTTCATCATCCCATTCCCAGAGGACCACCTGACTCAGTTTCTCTTTCGGCGCGGCTCAAGTCGCTCTTTGTGCGAGGAGCCTGTTTGCACACCCTTTGTCAAGAAGGTCTTTGAGAAGTACCACTGCAAGAACCGCCGCTGTGGCCCCCTGAATGTGACTCTGGCAGCGGAGGCCTGCCTGCGGAAAGAACATATGGCCCTGAAGGTGGTCCGAATCCGACAGCTGGAATTCTTGCGCCCGCTAGTTGAAGACCCCCGCTTGGACTTGAGGATAATTCAGCTGGTGCGGGACCCTCGGGCAGTGCTGGCCTCCCGCATGGTGGCTTTTTCGGGTAAGTATGAAACCTGGAAGAAATGGGCTAATGAAGGTGTGGCAACCCTTAAGGAGGATGAGGTCCAGAGATTGCGAGGCAACTGTGAAAGCATCCGGCTCTCGGCTGAGCTTGGGTTGAAGCAGCCAGCATGGCTTCAGGGCCGCTACATGCTGGTCCGCTATGAGGACATTGCCCGGTCCCCGCTCCAGAAAGCCAAGGAGATGTATGAATTCACTGGCATCGCTCTCACCACGCAGGTGGAGGACTGGATCCGGAAAAATACACAGGCCCCTCAAGACAACAACGGCATCTACTCCACCCAGAAGAACTCCTCGGAGCAGTTTGAGAAGTGGCGGTTCAGCATCCCCTTCAAGCTCGCCCAGGTGGTCCAGAATGTCTGCACGCCAGCCATGAAACTGTTTGGCTACAAGCTGGTCGGCAGCGCTGAGACTCTTACAAACAGATCCATCAGCTTGCTAGAAGAGAGGAGGAACTTCTGGATCACGTAAAGGTTGCCTTCGTTGGTGGAGTTGTTGCTGTTTTGTTTCCAATCACCGCATTCTTTGAATTGAGAAAGGGAGAATGCAAGAATATATTGAATATATTGAGGAAGGAACACATGGGTGTTTTGGGGGGAGAAGCTGTTTTGCTTCCTCTCGTCTTGAGCATTCAAGCGAAGAGCTTTTGGCTTTACCTGGAAGCAAGCTTCACTCGCTGGCGTATTTGACACTTCCAGGTGGATTATAACGGGCCCACAACACTGGCACACGGAAGCATTCTGAAGCTAACGCAGAGTGCGGGATTAAAGCCTGCGTCCCAGTTTCCCTACCTCATGTCCACATCATTTCTGTTGGGGATGTTGTCTCTCACCTTCACCAAACGTCCAAAGAGAGTGAATGTTTTATATTTAAAATAAGCTTATCTCTTGGAAGAAAAATATGAGCTTCTTGAGCCGCAGAGGACCTGTGAGAGAAGCCGAATGTTGCACTGATCTTGTCTAAGGCAGCCTTAAAGAATCTCTCAACCAGATATTTGGGGTGGGAGGGAAAGAAATATATTTAGCACAACTGACAGCGAGAAAGCTGACTGCTTTATGTGTAGACAGAACCTGTTTTGTACACGTTTCCCCTAAAATCCTCACATAAATTGAGGCCTTGTTTAAATGGAGAAGGTGTGTGACTGGAGAACAGAGTTGCATGGCCTAAGACAGAGGTAGCTCTGCCTGTAAGCGTAAGGAGATTTTGGGCTACACACAGTTTTTATGCACTTAGAATGGTTTTTATCCTAACTCACCGAGTGCTTGGAGAGATTTAAAGCAAACAAGCAATGAAATATCCTAAGCGGAAGAGATTGGGACAATAGTCATCCTACGTCTGTGGACATGAACTTTTCCTACGCTATTAGTTGTTGTGCTGTCCATTAGCCTTTCTTTTTTAAGTATTTTTCCTGCTTTTCTTACTCATCTCTGAATCAGTTGCATCGACCTTCATCTGGTGTCTGGGACACTAAAGTGAAGCATGCTGCTTTCTCATCCGATGAAAGAAAGGGCTGGAATGTTAATTGTATTTTTCTCCTTCACCCGTATAATTTGTTTCTGTCCTTCAAAGCGATGTTGGAAATTGCCAGTACTTCCCTTCTGTAATTTCTGGGGAGATGGTTTCTTCCAAGCCACGTTTGTTGAAGCAGAAAGAGGAAATCTTGGAAGGGAGAGAGCAGATGGACTTTGTCAAGAGGGAGGCAACAAAAATGACGGAAACAGAAACAGGCACCCTAAAATTCCTATGACTAATTTTGGTTTAAGAATTTTGGTTGTTACATTCATTATCTGTTTCCAGTGCTAGATCCAGCAGCAAACGTCTTAACGAATTTCACTTAGCTGTTCATCAGACGCACTTATTAACATGGTAGAAGGTATAACCTGACTGGGAATTTGGTATTTCATCCCCCAGTGGGTGCCATATCAGGATCTTGACTGCCCCCCAAAAAGTACCCACTTGGGGGCAATTCAGTCTGTTTTTTTTTTTCTAAACCAGGTTGGAGTCCAATCCACTCCCCTCCAAATTCCCAGGAATTTTGTCTGAATGGTAACATTTTCAACATATTCAATTTCGGGAGAAGTTGGCATGGATTATCACATCTCATTTTGAGATAATAAATGGATAGATTAATATCAGGGACTGAACACACACACAAACACAAAGAATACAGTATGTTTGTCACTTCTCTGTGCAGTTTCATTAACAGAGTCACATGCTTATCTGGCAGTGCTAATTTAACACCTAACCAAAAAAATAACCCTCCACATTTTCTTATCTGTAGTGAGAAGAACATTTAATGCTCCAGCAGTTCTTGTTCCTTTTCCTTAACAAAACAAAGAAGACAATCATTTAAATAACTATTTATTTTCTTCTTTTCCATGGAGCACTGCAGTGAATAAGCAACCACATTTGTTTTGATACACTCCAAGTAACAAAGATCAATATGACCATCATTTGGTTTCATAGCATTGACTGAGTAAGTAGGAATAGGCCTTACGTAGATGTGGCAAGAATATGTAATCACGGGTATAGCCTTTCCCCTCGTTTGCCTGCAAGAAAGAGTACCGGGATCCCAAACGCCATATGATAATGCAGATTTATCTCAGAATAAAACAGTTCTGAGATACCATTAAGTTCCTCCAAAAGTGCCGGCCAAAATCAGAACCTTCAGGCTGTGTAGCCACACTGGATGTCTGAAATGCAGAGAAAGCTGGATTGTCTGTGAAAAAAGTTACCAAGAAAGGAAAAGATGGAACATTGGCCAACATTCCCACAGTTGATTCAAGCTACGCTTATGATTTGATGTTCCCATTTACGTTAGTAAAGCGGTGCCGTGTCTACATGATTCATACACTGTGTCAACTTACCCTCAAATATAAGTCATAGCAGTCTTTCAGTTAGTTAGTTATCCCATCTTCCTGCATCTTCCTGTTGCACCACAGGTGTGCTCTTGCACTTACCTTTTTTTCTTCTGACAAGTTTTTCGATATCCCTCCAATAACCTTGGGATAAGCTCTGTTTCAGAACTGCATCCAATTCTCTTAAAGGGAGCGTGTCGAAATATTCTGACTATCCCACAAAAACATTCCGAATTAGATGTTTCAACCAGCACTGGATTTGCTGCGCAATAATGTTTTCCCCTTTGTGGTGGATTATTCTTACATTTCTCTATTTGGTTGCAATGGTGGTAAGAGTTGGGAAATTTATCTTAATTTTGTTACGATTATTTATGTGAAAGAGCTGGGGCTGGATAAAAGGAAGCTGCCATTTCCTGCCTTATTTTGAACTTTCTGTTCTGTTCTTTTCGAAAGCTGTAAACTCTGGGGTCCATTTATTTATTTATTGTACGGAGAAGGTAACAGTTGCTTTGGTAGAAGGAATCGAAACTACACAAAAATAAATAAAAACAATTTTTCCGAGAATCCGAGTTCAACTTGATTTTCCAAAGAGGGGGTCAACTTATTCTCCAAAGCACCAGAGGGCAGGACAAGAAACAATGGGTGGAAACTAATCAAGGGGTGAAGCAACCTGGATTTGAGGAGACACTTCCTAACAGTGAGGACAATTAACCAATGGAACAGCTTGCCACCGGAAATTGTGGGGGCTGCTTCACTGGAGGTTTTTCTTGAAAAGGTACAGGGTGTGCTACCGGAGCAGGGTGTTGGACTAGAAGACCTCCCGAGGTCCCTGAGTTGAAAAAAATAGTTAAATTAAGATGACTGTAGTTAAATAATTTGCATTTATGTTTTTCTGTTTTAAAAAAATGCAATTCCTTTAACTTAAAGAAGGATTTTATTTAAAAGGAAGGAACTGGATAGGAGACAATTTCATTCCATTTATCCCTGTATAACCTTGGAGCAGAGAGACCCTGCCTGGGAAATTGATTAAAGAAGCAATATTCTGTCCTAACTGTATTTTCTGGATCTTCAGCGTAAACTTTTTTGCTGTGCACAGAAACGAATGATTTATTATTTCCCATAAAAAGAGAAATGTACAGTTGCAATCACACCCAACATTTTAAAGAAAGTATGCCCAACGAAGTGCGTGGCATATCCTTTTATTCTTTTTGTAAAACACCCTTAAAATTTAATGGAGTTTTCAAGAAAGAAACCATATTGCGTGCCGTTCTATTCCACCAGCACCAAAACTCAACACACATTTCTGTATCGAAGCCAGCCGGCCTTGCGTATCCCTGCATTTGTGAGGTTTGTGGTGAGAGTTTATTTATCTTTTCCCCCTATGAGGGATTGGTTCATCTGAAATGAAATGATCTGTGTTTTGTATGCAGTTTCACATGCAATTGGCAAAGATCGGCTTCTGGACAGCCATCCTGCTAATCCTGAAACCGATTAATTCTAATTCCCCCTTTGGCATTTGGGCAGACACGGAAGTTTTTAGTTCTGCAAGACTGTGGGTATATTTTATAGAGATATTTATCTAAGTTTATATGGATTTTATGCAGTCATACTGTAGGAAGTATGCATGTGGGCTTCAGCGCCATAATCCCTGGCAGTATTCCTAATTCCAAAAAGGATGGAAAACGAGCCAAGCCTGGAATCCGGTCTCGGGGTAGGAGCAGCAGATCCATTAAAGGAGACTAGAAGCATTTGACTTTCCTAGAACAAGGGTATCATTCAAAGGCATTTATCCAAGGAAGACTTTTAAAGAATTTTAGTGAACGTATCTCCAGTCTAAGAAAGAGGGAGGGAGGCCCTGACCTTTTGAAATAAAAGCGAATAGCTTTATTATCGTAAAGCAAATTTTTCCAACGTCTTCCACTGCTTCATTTTTGGACAGCTGGTGCCCTAAGCCAGTGTTTCTCAACCTCTGCAACTTGAAGTTGTGTGGACTTCCAAGTCCCAGAATTCCCCAGTCTGCATGAGTCCTCATCCCACTACAGACACATTAGGGTTACCAGACAAATTGGAACGGGCAGTAGAGGGCACCAAAGAAAGTTTTCTCTATCTGCTATCCATGTCCTACACCAGGGGTGTCAAAACTCGATTTCATTAAAGGCTGCATCAGGGTTTGACCTTGGGGGGGGTGGGGGTTCGTGGCCAAGTGGGTGTGGCCAACTTGATGTCACTTGTGCCTGTGGTGGCCCGGGCACTCTGCCAGTGAAAAGGGGCTCCCGAGCTCCGTTTTCAGCTGTGACGGCCTCCTGCCCCTCTCTGCCAACAAAAACGGAGCTGCGTGCGCACGCAGCCTCTCTGGCCTCCGTTTTCGCTGGCAGTGGGGCTGCAGGAGGCTGGGTCAACTCATAAAATATTTCAGTGGCCTTTTTAGAGTTGCCAACAGAAAGGGAGGGGGGAAAGGGGTTTGAAAGAGCAGTGCGGCAGCTTGGAAATTGAAAGTGTATTCCATAAATAGTTTTCAAAGGTAGCTACTAGGTGACTGAAGTTTCTGCCGTGCAAAATTCTAACCAGAGAGAATGTTTGATGACTCTTGGCTATGGATATGTCCCATTGGAG